CTGACTCTAGTGTTACGCAAACAATTTTGTCCCTGACCACAATCTTTCATCCACTAGATGGCAGTATTTCCAAAGAAATGTATCAGGTTTCCTTATTCCTTTGTGTAGAGTTAGGCTGTCACGTTCTTTGTTGAGATGTAACAATACTTTGTTTTGTTAACTAAACATGATTTCACAATTTTAGATAATTTTTACAGCACAAACTGAAAGAGAGGAGTCAAACCAGACTGAGAGACTTTACTAAAGGGATAAAGTAAAAAAAATAAAAAAATAAAAAATAAATCCCATGTATGATTTGAGCCATGCTTTTCCGGTTTAAAATGCAAACCATTTACCATAATGAATAACTTGTACATCAGAGATTTTATTGCTAAGCCACTTCCCGAGAGAAATTATTACTATTTTTCTGACTAATATGTTATGATTCACCTCGAGGTTCTTCCTCGTCCTAACTAACCATGCTAGTGTCACGTTTGGCCTGCTTAATTGTATCGTGTAAAGCACTATTAAACAAAAGCCTACTGAACTATAAGATATGGTTGTCAGTGTTGCAACAAAATTAAAATATGTAAAATATAATTCAATTATGAACACACATTTTTTACAGTATTGTTATTGTTCATTAAATCTATATAAAAAAATATATAGAAATTATTTTCTGTAAGTAAAATAAAGTTGAAATAAAACATTTAAAAAAAACTTTCAATTAAAATAAATTTAAAAACTTGAACGAAAATTACAAATGTTGCCTTGGCTACTAACTGAAATAATTAAGTTGAAGTTGCTGCTAAAATTACTAAAACTAAAACTGAAATAAATTAATTAAATATCTGGTCTATATAGATTTTTTTTAAACTAATAACAATGATAAAAGTACATTACAAAATTACTAAAACTTAAGCTAAAATGTTAATGAAAATTGAAAATATAAAAGTAAATAATAATAATACAATAATAATAAATAGACAATACTAAACTATACTAATAACACTGCTGATGTATTATTATTATTTATATCACATATTTATTCATATAAAATTAGAAGCAAAATATAGACCAATATGGCATGTACAAAACGGCTTTCAATGTTTATTTACTTACAGTACCATAAACAGAAAATGTGTTACCAAACTGACTCTAGTGTTACGCAAACAATTATGTCCCTGACCACAATCTTTCATCCACTAGATGACAGTATTTCCAAAGAAATGTATCAGGTTTCCTTATTCCTTTGTGTAGAGTTAGGCTGTCACGTTCTTTGTTGAGATGTAACAATACTTTGTTTTGTTAACTAAACATGATTTCACAATTTTAGATAATTTTTACAGCACAAACTGAAAGAGAGGAGTCAAACCAGACTGAGAGACTTTACTAAAGGGATAAAGTAAAAAAAATAAAAAAATAAAAAATAAATCCCATGTATGATTTGAGCCATGCTTTTCCGGTTTAAAATGCAAACCATTTACCATAATGAATAACTTGTACATCAGAGATTTTATTGCTAAGCCACTTCCCGAGAGAAATTATTACTATTTTTCTGACTAATATGTTATGATTCACCTCGAGGTTCTTCCTCATCCTAACTAACCATGCTTATTTAATATTATTATTAATATTATTATTACATAATGTTTTCACCTAAAAAAACAGAAGCCAACAATAGGCCAACTATGCAGTGACTTAGAAAAGGTAAGTCACTATTCATACTATTATGCATATTAAGGCCTGTTTATGGCGATATTTGTCTCACAAATTCTGCTTTAACACTTCTTTGTTTTCATTAGCATAAATTCCAGGAAACAATGACGTTGAGTTGCCCCAGATGAGCCTGTCATGCTATCAGTACCCACAAACAGCTGCTCAGAAGGCAACTACCGTCATTTCCGCTTCAGAAGAACAACAAACAAAAAGAAATGCACAGTATGAGTGTGAGGATGCATTTTCACTACCAAAATGAATTAACTGAATTCTCTGTTGGTGATTCAACACTTTGAAATAGGTGATACATTTAGTGTGTGAAATCAAAATTCCTTGATGGGATGTTTTCTAAAAAAGCAACTGAACAACTTCTAGGCACACATCTTGTCAGATTTACAATTATATATAATATTTTAAATAAGTGTATTTTAAAGTATAACACACGCACACACACACACACACACATACATATATATATATAGTATTTTAAATATGTATATTTATGTATATATATATATATATATATATATAAAACATAATAAAATAAATACTAATTAAATACTAAACAATATTAGATTAAATATAAAAATATATTATTTCAGTATACTTTGATACAACTAGTGTTTTAAAATATTATTACCAAAACTTTTTTTCCTTCATTCGTTCTTCCAAACTGAAACATAGATCTTGACAGAAAGTCAACAATGTCATTTCTCAGAAGCCAAGTCTCTTTAAAACCACAGCAGGTGACAGTATGCGTAGGAGATAAATCAACCATAACGGCCACACAGAAAGATCAGCCATTTTGATTTTTGATTTTCATCAGCCAGCTTTAACACTCTAGGCATATTTTGACAGTCCTTTGAAATAATAAAAATAAATAAATAAGTAAATCTGTCCTGTCAAATACACTGCTGGGATGCAATGTGGGGATCACTGAATGCTCAGCCTGCTCTCTGAATGACAAAGATCTGCATCTGTGTCAGGAGTCAGAGATACTGTGTTCCTGATCGAGCCCCCCGGCAGGAAGCTACAATCCTCCCACCCATCCTTCCCCCTCCTCCTCTTCCTCAGGAGAGAGGACTCTGGATGAACGCTGTGCGTGCAGCGCAGAGGCTCTAAAATGAAGGCTGTACCCACATCCTGTGTTCATGTTCAATGTCTTAAACGAGCACCTGCCTGCCCTGCCCCTCGCCTTCTGCAATTACCCAAAAACTGAAACTGCTGAGGCATTTTCTCTTTTGTTTTTGGGGTTCTGCTTGCATTCGGAAAAGCATGTGTTGGCCCGAAGCACTGCATACATTACTAAAAGCAAACAAAGGCTGCAGAAACAGTTATTGAATGCCATTTAGGTTAGGCCATTTACCTTCCAGCAATGAGGATGTTGAAACTTGGCGGTGCACTTGGAAGCATCCATTGTGTTGTTATTAGAAATGACTCCCTGGGCTGAATATTACACAATCAAACCAAATAGACAAAGTTGGATTAGTTCAGCAACTGATCCAAAAGTTTGTTTTTAAATGGATTTTAATAACAGCCCAGGTATTTTACTCTGGCCTGCTTGGGACACCATTCACAGTTCAGGGACTCTGCCCATATTGGGTCTCTACAAATAGTCACATACATGGGCCAATGTGTAATAAGAATGAAAGAAAGAAAAAAATCACATTTCTATCAATTTTAAAACACATGAGTCAAGTTCTTTGAAATATAAAATTTTGTAATCATGTTGGAATTATACATTTTTGGGAGAAAAAAGTTCATATTTACTAGCAAATGCTGTATTTGATGGCTTCATTTAATGACAAAAAATGTCAAATGGTGGAACCATAACGTAAAGTACAAAAATATATTTTTAAACCTTGAATAGACATAAATAACTTCATCAATGTCAAAAATCATTTACAATTTTAAACTCTTATTAAAGATGAATCATGAATATCTAAAGTAAAAGATCTTGACAGTAACAAAATCTGCTCTTTCCATAAAAAGATAAAAAAATATATATGTTATATATTTAAAACTACCACATGACAATAAAATATTATTGGGTTCTTATTGCTTATTGCTAGTTATGCCACACTGACTCTGATTTACGAATTTTTCCTAATTTAAATATTTTTTTAAAAGCTTCACTAATATCTGAGCGTAATATCTGTGTAACATCTAATAAAAGTGTAACATCTGACAAAATGTGTCTTCATAAAAAGGTAAAAATATGTTATGTTTTTAAAAAGTCACATTACAACAAAACCTGTTCTTACATATTGGTTATCCCACACTGCCTTTGATTTACAAAGTATTCAAAATATAAATATTTTCAAATGACTTCACTACTTAATTGTTTTTAAATAACTAATGTAATAAAATATCTTGATATTAATACAATTTCAAGGAATTTTTTTATTTTTTTATTTTTTTAATGGCACATGACAACAAAATGAGCTCTTCTACAGTATATTGATCATTCCATACTGACTTTGATACAAAATTGCTCTACTGCTTATTTTTAAAGGATTAATAACATAGGCCTAATGTTATAATATAATACTTTTTCAATAAATAAAGAATTTTAGCCTGTTAACTAGACTTTGTTTTCTAATTTAGGCTACAGTCTGTGGACAGTTAGACCACCTAGACATTTTTACCTTACAAAAAAATCAAAAATGCTTTTAATTCACACACTGAAATATATTAATACAACTTTTAATACACCCGTGTATTCAAATCATTCTTGTATGAACTGCATTTTGAGTAACTTCCGGACAAAAACACGCATCAGGTCATGGACCCATACATAACATTACTATGACTGTATAATTGAGAATATCCTTCACATTTTGAGCCATACGTTTGCACACATACATCTTTAACAGTCATGAAAATGTGGACTAAACATGCTGACCTCTGAACTTCACGATATTAAAATAATAATGAAAACAAAGCGCTAAGCCCCCGCCGATGCTCCCCAGGGCTCAATTGCGCAAGAGTTTATCACTTACGATAAGGATCTCATTACACTTCGTTCTTTTACAAAAGAAAAGCGAACCAAAAATGACCACCTTAGTATGAGTATCCCTTGAGTTACTCCTAAAGTTACTCGTCGTGTCACATCAAACAGGGTTTTATCGAAATACACCAGCGTTCACTATTTTTCACCGACAAACGTCCCGGATGTCTGCCAACATTGTAGTTGCGCTCGTTCTTTGAGAGATGAGAAGAGTGCTCGTATCAACGACATGACAAACATTTAAGCTCAGAAAACCTATAAAGATTTTAAACATGCTCCTTACCAAATTGAGTGATTTTCTGGCGGTCCTCGGCACGCGACATCCTCTCGTAGTAAAGTTTTCATACAGCGTGCAACTGTGTTGTTTACAAAGTATTGAGCGGAATCCCGATTGGTCCGGGTCGAGCCAAGGCGACGCCCCGACGCTCAACCCCATCTGACGCGACGCGACAAACTTGTAATCAACGCCGCTTCATTTCACCGCGTCGCAGAGTTGTTCATTATAATAGAACCGTTGTAGTTTGTCGCGTCGCTTGCAGTTTATATACGTGTATGTAGTCAGAGGGTTGCGCTTTGAAATCAACTGTAATGATCATATTTTGCACAAGGTGGTGCCATTGTCAACCTTCTCCTCAAAGTTTCAGGACTAGCAGATTAGCAGATTTCCCATTGTGCTTTATTCGACACAGCAGGAAATCAATATTATGCAGCAAACACAGCAAGAATTCAATGCAACAACATAAATGTATAATACATCATTTATTTTTAAAGTGACATTATTTATGACCAGCAGGTATCCCCATACTTATTACATAATGCAAAATATTATAAAACAAAATGAATAATAAAATAATTATATATATTTTTTCATTGTAAAATATTTACATAACATTTGTTGAACTGCCTTTTATTTATGCTAAATATTTTTTTTAATGGGACTGCTTAATGTCATAAGATTCGAGATTCAAGATTTTTATTTGTCACATACATGGTTATATAGGGAATATATGACCAGCAGTGAAATGTAAGTCAGGTCCGCTCCATGGACAGTGCAATTATTAAAGAATACAAACACAAGAAGATTATATATAAATATAGGTATGGAAAAAGTAAGATAAAAAATAAGAATAAAATAAAATGCACAGGACAGTATACTGTAGGCTTAATAAATATGTAGGTGAGCAGGAATGTACAATAGAAGAATGTGCAAACAGGTTGTACATTGGTAGTTACATAAGAGCATTCCCTGACCGGGAATCGACCCCGAGCCCGAATCCTAACCGCTAGACCACCAGGGAATATAGCGTGTAAATAATAAATATTGTGTCATAATAAAAAATATTGCAGTGGTGGTCCTAAAATGTGAGTTGAACATGTTTATCATGATGATGATGATGATTATTATTATTATATATATATATATATATATATATATATATATATATATATATATATATATATATATATATATATATATACATAGATATCAAGAGTAACAAAATGTAGCAAAACATACTGAAATTAACTAAATGTTATATTTAAAAAATCATACATTTCAGACTTAGTTAAATGTTAGCCCTATATAATTTCTTAATATAAAATAAAAAATAATCCCACAGTGTAAAAAATGCAGAGTAAAAATGTCATTTAGGATTTTTGTTTGTTTGTTTGTCTGCTTCCCATCATGCATGGTGGCTATTAAAGCATACGTTTGACAAACACATTTACCAAATTCTAACCCAGAGGTGTTTCTAGAGGTAAATTCTGGACAGCCCGTATATCAATATATAAATATCAAAAGACCAAAGAGATTATTTTTTACAATTTTGCATAAGATATCCTAGTCTTTGAGCCTTGTCTCTAAATATGTGCTCTTTTCAGAAGGTTAAATCTCCTGAATGGACTTTAAAAACTCTCATTTATGCATCCATGACTCGTTTCTTTCATTCAGTGCTTTTTATTATCACCCTCTATTATCGTATAATTATGTAATGATGAAGCGACTTGGCGTGCCTCGCGCTCAGTGTTTATGCGTGGCGTCACGGCATGCTCTCAGCGCTCCTCCTTCGCGCGCCTGTCTGTGTTGTTTCCGCTTAATTAGAAGCAATCCCCGCCCAGCCCGATTCCAGCTTGGCTGCGTTGTTTGGGGACAGTCCGAAGATGGCGACGGCCCAGCTGTACTGCGTCTGCCGGCAGCCGTACGATGTGAGCCGGTTTATGATAGAATGCGATATTTGTAAGGACTGGTTTCACGGCAGGTAAGGAATTCAACCGTGTCTTCGTTATCCGCTGCGTCGGAAAGGCAACGAAATACCCGCCTATGAAATCCTATGGCACTTCGGGTGTCAGTAAGCCGTGCGTTGAGCTCGCTCGCTCGCTCGCACTGAGACGATTTCACGCGCTGCTTTGTCAATATTTCCAGGCGTTAATAGTCCCCTTTGCAGTTTTCACAATATAAACGCTCGAGTTACCCGTCTGTTAAAGCTTCGTTATTGCTTTGCAGTAACATTAGACTGTTTTATCATGGCTTCTCAAAAAAATCCAGCGATCCGAGCAGCAAAAATGGGTTCACGTAGGGTTTTCTCAGAAGCTTTGTGGTTAGGAGTTGCAGAGCATCAGCTGACATTAACCCCTTATGTAGTTTTGTGTCACATAAATGTCAGCATCGAAGTGCACGTGAGATTGTGGTGTGTTAGACGTCAAGTGAAGGTTTATTAATATTTCACACTTAACAGCAGTTGGTCAACGTGCTACATGTCAAACAGCAAATAGCCTACTAAAATGGAAACATAAGATGAGAGAAACAATTCAAAGAGTATACTGCTACTTTTAAGTACGAAGAAGAATGAAACAGTTTAAAATGGAATAGATGTGAGTTTGAACGAAGTCTTGATCGATGTGGTGCTGAAACTTGCATGCTTTCGAGTGAACTCGTGCGTGATGTTTTCTCAACCTTACCTTATTTCTTATTGTTAAAAAATATATAAACTGTAATGGTTGCTACTGTAGAGGTGTTAACAGAAAATAAAACGAGCATTTTAAGAGTTTTATACTGTTAGGAATTCGCGATTGACATTGGCTTGCCGAACAACATCTGCGTATTTATTTTATTTATTTATTTAATGGATTGTTTTATTTTTATGCAGCCCGTATTGCGAATTGTATTGCTCTTAGCTCGTAAAATAAATGTATATGACATGCAGGTTATTTCTTTGTTGGTTGTTCAGACTCAGTTATTCTGTGAAGCGTGAGGAAACGTGGGGGGTTTCGATGAAAAGTTACACGGGGAATGGGGGGGGGGGTAACTAAACAAAGACGTGTGGTTGAGTTTACGAGATCAGGCCGTTCCCTATTTCTCTCGTTAAATGTGCATTACATATTGCTTGGAAAGTAGCGTCTGGTTTTGGGGTTTGCTAGGTTTTATGGGAGTATTAAATATAAAAAGGAAAGTCGCGTTTGTAATGGAGCTCAGCGCCTTAGGTTTCTGTGATTGTTTGGTCTTTTTGATTGACAGCTGGGGTCGGGCATTTAAATCCCCCAGTTTTACAAATATGGGCATATGGTTCCGCCTCTTAAAGGGACAGGTACCGTTTGACTTGTGCAGCGCGGAGCTGAAGCCATGTGTGAAATGCTCGGGATAAAATTAGCTTGACCCGTAAATATTGCCAGAAAGCGTGCAAGAACATCGTGTTGCTTGTTTATAAGTGTGAAATTGCTGGGTGGCTCGTTTGTTTTAGTTTACTTGCGAAGCTTTACACATTAATGTAGAGAAGAAATGGGAGAATATTAAAGAATATTATATTAAGTGTTATAGATAAGCTATGTGTGTATTATAGGTTTTTCTGCTGAAATATTTCTTCATAAAACATTATACATGTTTAAACAAATGCAGATTATTATTATTATTGCATTAACATTTGAATGTTTTATATATATATATATATATATATATATATATATATATATATATATATATATATATATATATATATATATATATATATATATATATATATATATATATATATATATATATATATATATATATATATATATATATATATATATATATATATATATATATATATATATATATATATATATATATATATATATATATATATATATATATATATATATATATATATATATATATATATATATATATATATATATATATATATATATATATATATATATATATATATATATATATATATATATATATATATATATATATATATATATATATATATATATATATATATATATATATATATATATATATATATATATATATATATATATATATATATATATATATATATATATATATATATATATATATATATATATATATATATATATATATATATATATATATATATATATATATATATATATATATATATATATATATATATATATATATATATATATATATATATATATATATATATATATATATATATATATATATATATATATATATATATATATATATATATATATATATATATATATATATATATATATATATATATATATATATATATATATATATATATATATATATATATATATATATATATATATATATATATATATATATATATATATATATATATATATATATATATATATATATATATATATATATATATATATATATATATATATATATATATATATATATATATATATATATATATATATATATATATATATATATATATATATATATATATATATATATATATATATATATATATATATATATATATATATATATATATATATATATATATATATATATATATATATATATATATATATATATATATATATATATATATATATATATATATATATATATATATATATATATATATATATATATATATATATATATATATATATATATATATATATATATATATATATATATATATATATATATATATATATATATATATATATATATATATATATATATATATATATATATATATATATATATATATATATATATATATATATATATATATATATATATATATATATATATATATATATATATATATATATATATATATATATATATATATATATATATATATATATATATATATATATATATATATATATATATATATATATATATATATATATATATATATATATATATATATATATATATATATATATATATATATATATATATATATATATATATATATATATATATATATATATATATATATATATATATATATATATATATATATATATATATATATATATATATATATATATATATATATATATATATATATATATATATATATATATATATATATATATATATATATATATATATATATATATATATATATATATATATATATATATATATATATATATATATATATATATATATATATATATATATATATATATATATATATATATATATATATATATATATATATATATATATATATATATATATATATATATATATATATATATATATATATATATATATATATATATATATATATATATATATATATATATATATATATATATATATATATATATATATATATATATATATATATATATATATATATATATATATATATATATATATATATATATATATATATATATATATATATATATATATATATATATATATATATATATATATATATATATATATATATATATATATATATATATATATATATATATATATATATATATATATATATATATATATATATATATATATATATATATATATATATATATATATATATATATATATATATATATATATATATATATATATATATATATATATATATATATATATATATATATATATATATATATATATATATATATATATATATATATATATATATATATATATATATATATATATATATATATATATATATATATATATATATATATATATATATATATATATATATATATATATATATATATATATATATATATATATATATATATATATATATATATATATATATATATATATATATATATATATATATATATATATATATATATATATATATATATATATATATATATATATATATATATATATATATATATATATATATATATATATATATATATATATATATATATATATATATATATATATATATATATATATATATATATATATATATATATATATATATATATATATATATATATATATATATATATATATATATATATATATATATATATATATATATATATATATATATATATATATATATATATATATATATATATATATATATATATATATATATATATATATATATATATATATATATATATATATATATATATATATATATATATATATATATATATATATATATATATATATATATATATATATATATATATATATATATATATATATATATATATATATATATATATATATATATATATATATATATATATATATATATATATATATATATATATATATATATATATATATATATATATATATATATATATATATATATATATATATATATATATATATATATATATATATATATATATATATATATATATATATATATATATATATATATATATATATATATATATATATATATATATATATATATATATATATATATATATATATATATATATATATATATATATATATATATATATATATATATATATATATATATATATATATATATATATATATATATATATATATATATATATATATATATATATATATATATATATATATATATATATATATATATATATATATATATATATATATATATATATATATATATATATATATATATATATATATATATATATATATATATATATATATATATATATATATATATATATATATATATATATATATATATATATATATATATATATATATATATATATATATATATATATATATATATATATATATATATATATATATATATATATATATATATATATATATATATATATATATATATATATATATATATATATATATATATATATATATATATATATATATATATATATATATATATATATATATATATATATATATATATATATATATATATATATATATATATATATATATATATATATATATATATATATATATATATATATATATATATATATATATATATAT